TTGCAACAAACCAACCTACCAATACAAGGTAATGAAGTCTAAACACTCCTTTATAACACAAAGTAGAACAAGATCTTTCTAGTCAGAGGATTAAAAAAAATGCATCAAAACAGGTTCCAGTGAAGGCATCAAAAAATCAAAATTAAAGAAAACAGTGCATTTCAGAACAGATCATTGTGTTCCATACCTAGCTTTCTTTTGTGTCAGTAGCTGCTATTAGGTGTTGTATCAGATACAATGGAAACCACACTTGCATTCCCCATTCCTTATCCCCATCCTTCTGTCACACACACATGCATCCCAAGTGGTAGTCCTAATCATTGCTTCGCCACCTCAGCCCTAGAATCAGTCATAACTTATGCTTTCCTGTAATTTTTCTTGGGTTTCAAATGCTCTCACTGTAACTTGCTTTTCCTCCTGCACCTCACTGGGAGGTGCTGGGTCCATGGCTGGCTGGTGGTAATGTCAGCACAGGTTCTGTGTAGGTGCCTGGAAAGAATGGATACTGCTGCAAATTATTTTGAAGGAGTTTGCAGGCTGGGATTAAAGAAACACTGGAAGAAACAATGATTGGCATGTTGGCATGTCCATATGTCACCTACCAAGGAATTTTCTTTTTTTTCTCGTAAGGCACACATTTCCAAACATCTTTTTTCGTCTTCACTGGCAGCAGTATCCCTGTAAGGAATGCTACTGCATAATTGAGTATCAAGGCACCATGAACATTGCTAAACACAACTTCGTATCCCACCTCAAGCATGGCCTATATCCCAACAAAGCCCTGCTTAAGTGTCATCTGCTTGTTTGTAGAGGATGTACCTTTGCTGATTGACCAGCAACTGAGTTAGATCCATGGGAGTTTTCTCAATATCTTTTACAATGTTAAGTTTGCATTCTTGGCAAAAAACACCAGTGGTATGCTGAATTTGTTAATTAATTTATGTGATTTGATGACCCCATCAAATATCTGGAGGTTCACATCAAGAGGAAAACTGTGATGACCTCAGTTTCCAACCTGCCAGGAGCACACAATTCCTGTTAATATTTGCTCATATTACACCTTCCTACTGCATCAGAAGAGTGTAATGTAGCCAGTGCAGGCAAACACTCCTTCCTTAAAGGAAGCTGACATGCCATCAACTTCAGTGGTTTTTCTGTCACATATCTCAACTGCATCCAGTAAAATCTAAGTAATTTAGTCAAAAGTGCTTTAAACAAAAAATATTATATGAAACTTAGCAGACTAAACCTCAGAAAAATGAGTGTAATTTTCCATTATTTCTGTTTATGTTTTAAATAAATTGACAATGAAATACTGAACTCCCTTAAAAATAAATTTAAAGTTACTCCTAGGTTTAAATTTCAGTTTTGTGTTGGTAAAGCAGAAGAAAGGGAACTTAGATCACTTTGTAGCCTTTTTTTTTTTTTTATGAAACCCTTGAGTCTAAAAGAAGAAAACCAGCCTATGCAAAAGCATATCCTCTTTTTCCCCTTGTCTGTGCAAATTCTTCTGGAGGAATACAAATTCTACTGGCCAAATTCACATCTGAGTTTCTCAAAGAGAAATGTTTGCTCACTTTCACAATGAACAAAACTCTAGCAGAAACAACACTCACAAAATTTTCCCTTGCTGACATAATTTTCTTAGATACAACGAGGCAACTGGCTCGATGAGGATGATATTTAAATTCTGATTGTAAACCAAACCTTTTTTCTAATGCTCCTAGTTTCACTAAGTTTCAGATTATAAAAGCATATTGAGAACATAAGCCATAAAAAGTAGTAGTGTTAAAAAGCAGATGCACTTGCTTCAGTAAGATCTTCTTTCTCTTAAATGACATGTGAGTAATCTGCATTCTTCAAAGAAAAATAAAGTTGTCTTGTCAGGAGAAACTGCCAATGCAAGTCCAGATAAGAAAATAAAAATAGCTTAATATAGGAATAACTTAACAGATAACAGACAAGAAAGAAGTAAATGTACCCTGGGGAATATGCAAATCATACTGACTGAAGTTATGCATCGGCCTACTAACTTATATTTTGAGTTCACAAAACTGAACTTAATATCTATTTCCTTATTGTTTTGCAGGTTTACTGGTATCATTGTATGAATTTGCAATCCCTTTCTCTGAGCTGTTGAATTTTTGTACTATAGTTCTACTATAGTACCATATACTACTGTAGTTTTATTATATAGTACTACTATACTACTGACTAGTAGTCATGTAGAAACCTCACAGGGCTATTGTGCTTTAAGAATCATATTCAACATAATACTCAAACACCAATGATTTTCTTCTCCTGCTGTTTTGCTCAGATCATGCTCCCCTTGCTACTGGATCAGGAATTAAAAAATTGCAATGCTCTTCCTTATTTTTCTGTTATAGCCTTCTTCCCTAATTCTCCGCTAAAGCCTTAATCATTAAAATCAGTCTTTGGACCATCATTAAAATGGCCTGGCTTGCACTGAGATCTTCAGCATTAGGAAAGGGAATAAGTTATTTCAAGTGCAGTCAACTAAAATAATAATTAAACACAACTTCTTGGTAACCAGCAACACTTTATTACTTTCTGATGTTGTATGTTTTGTCTACAAATATCTTAGAATAAAATGCGTCAACTGTGCCACCCAGATTTAAGTTTGCAACGCTCATTTGGCTGCCACCACACTAAAATGTACAGGTTTTACATCTGTCTGTACGAAGTAGACTTCATTACATGGTTCAGCAGAAAAGAAAGAACAGCTAACACTTATAGCAAAATTCTAGTATTTGAATATTAACTTTAAAGAAACCAAAAAGAAACCCAGAAACCATAGTATTTGTTTCAGGTAATTTTGTTCAAAAGAAAAAATAATAAGCAGTGTCATGTGAGCTGATGAAAAGCAGAACCACTTAAGGAACCATGACACTGGTTTAATCACCTTTCTTTCCCCATACCAAATATCTCGCTGACATGTAACTGAAATTCCAGTATTACAAATAGTCTCATTTTGAAAGACAACTTACATCCATTTTTTCGTTTGTGCTGCAATGCAAAACTGCTAATTCCCAATGCCTTTCTGACCTTCTCCTCTTTTACACAATCTTGTAATTTTTTAAAAATCAATGCTTTATTAACAAAATTTTATAAAGCTGTGCAGTCCCAGGAGAGTAAAAACATCTACCATCAGGCAGGATTCTACCAGATACAGCTTTGAAAGGCTTATCAGATTTTTCCTCTGAAATAGGATGCATCATACAAGGTAACATGAGTTACTGAAACAAGAATGCAAAAAGATGCACTGCATAATGCATTGGTTTTAAAATTCTAGAAATCAACAGCGTGTATATGCTATTGGAATTTGTTGTTGGAATAAATATGGTTGTATCTCCAAGGACGAGCTGAATCAATGGATTAAATGAATTCTTTTATCATTTCTTAGTCACTCTAATTTTAACAAGCATTTCACATGCTTGTTAAAATTAGAGTGACTAGAGGAGATGCCAACTATTTAGAGTAGAATATTATCAAATATTATGAGTATTAAATATTTTAATCTACACAAGTATAGGAAGAGTCAAGAATAAATAACAAGTACATTTATTACCAGTACCATACATGCCATACAAGATGTACAAAGATGAAGCCCAGTATATGTTACCATAACAGTACTCTAACTAGTGCTACTGAACCTTATTTTGAGAGCACTTGGGTTTTGGGCGAGTGCACTTATCAGCATGCATCAGGCCAATCTGTGCCTCCCCAGTGCTGTTACATTTACACCTTCTGACATGGAGAAATGTGTTACCTATTTGCTAAACCTCTGTCCCACAAAAAGCTGGGGAGCACATAATACTGTTAAAATTAACTGTAGTTGTGTCTTACACATGGTATGTGCCCCCTCACAGTCCCTAATGGAGAGCAGAGAAAGGCAACATTCATCTTGCTGATTATTTGATTATAGATAGATGACAGCACATGCACCCTGCACCATGTTTGTTATTCACACTGGGGCTCCTTCAGTGCTCCGGTGTGTCTGAACCAGGCCGGGGGCTGACCTGCTGGGAAGCAGCTCTGCTGAGAAGGACTTGGCGGTCCTGGTGGACAACATACTGTCCATGAGCCAGCAGTGTGTCCTTGTGACCACCAAGAATGCCAGTGGTATCCTGGGGGGCATTAGGAAGAGCCCTGCCAGCAGGTCATGGGAGGTGATCCAGCACTCAGCTCTGCTGAGGCCACACCTGCAGTGCTGGGTCAGTTCTGGGCTCCTCAGGACACGAAAGACATGGAGCTCCTGGAGCTCCTGGGTCCAACGGAGAGCAAGAGAGGTGTGAGTAAAGGACAGCGTTTCTCTTACAAAGAAAGGCTGAGGGAGCTGGGCCTGTTCACACTCAAGAAAAAGAAGAAACACCCCCTTGAGAAGAGAGGACCTCATCGGTGTCTAACAGCGTCTGAAAGAGGGTGTGAGAGGGTGGAGCCAGGCTCCTCTCAGCAACGCCAGGCTATAGGACAAGAGGCAACAGGCAGAAGCGGATCCCGTTCCACCTGAACGTGAGGAAGAACTTTTACTGTCCAGGTGACTGAGCACTGGAACAGACTTCCCGAGCGGGTGCCGAGTGTCCCACACTGGAGATGTTCAAGAACGGCCTGACACACGCTTGTGCCATGCGCCCTGCGCTGTCCCTGCAGGGGCAAGGGACCCCGCCGGGAACCCCCGGACCAACATTCCTCTCACGGAGAGCGCCCCCCCCCGCTCCGCCCCGCCCCGCCCCGCCCCGCTCCGCCCCGCTCCGCCCCGCTCCGCCCCGCTCCGCCCCGCTCCGCCCCGCTCCGCCCCGCTCCGCCCCGCTCCGCCCCGCTCCCCGAGCTGCGCCTGCGCAGAGCGCCGCGCGGGGGAGGTGCCCTTGGGGCCGAGGCGCGGCGAGACGTGACGCCACCCGGTGACGTCCCTCTGATGACCCCACCCTAGCGACGTCAGGAGTGTGACGGCAGGGGGCGCCGGAGGTGGGGGTGGCTGGGCCGTTCGCGCTTATGGAGGACGAGGACTGCCCGGACCTGGTCCCCATCGGCGCCGGCGGCGCGGAGCTGGCCGATGCCGGCCCCGACAGGAAGATCCCCGTGACGATCATCACGGGGTACTTGGGTGAGGAGCGGCCGCGGCTCTCGGCAGGGACTGCGTGCGGGCAGGGAAGGCCCGGGCGGGCCGGGTGAGCAGCGCGGGGCCAGCGCTGCGGGCGGGCGGGCGGGGGTCTGCGCCCCACGGGCCGGGCGAGCAGCGCGGGGCCCTCCGGCCGCTCCCGTGGATTTGCAGGGCCACTCGGAGGAGCGGTGTGAGCACCCAAAGCGTTGCTGCTTCCACCACCCTGCTTTCAGGAGCCGCCTCGTTCAGGTCACGATTGACAAATGGCTCTTGGTCACTTAGCGTCAGAATAGTGCCACGTATTTGGCTCAGTTAAATGCAGACTGCATTGCAGTCCGAAAAACGCGAGGTTCGGCGTTTTTCCCGTACCCCTCGACCAGCAGAGTTACTGTGTGCTACACGCAGTTATGGACTGCAAGAATCTGGTTAAATTTAGGATCGCGGTCACTGTGCTGAAAATTGTAACTCTGTACTGCATCACATTGCTGCAGAGAAAAATCTCTTAAGGACGAGTAAGGAAGGTTCCCTAGTTGTAGTGGTCACCTGCCTTGGGCTGGATGATCTCCCGAGATTCCTTCCAGTCTTGACGATTTTGTATCTTGTGCATGGGATGGAACTGCTCCTAAGGCTCCTCAGAACACGTTTTGTAACACGTTTTTTAACAATGCCCCGTTTAAAGGCACATCCGTGGTTACTGATGGCAGAACGGGTCAGAAAAGGCCGTAAAGAGGGAGAAGATTAGGTGTGCCTTCTGTTAAAAGAAGCATGAAAGTTAGTGTTGTAGGAGAAAACTGCCCAGCTAGTAGGGAGCTTGTAAGTTTATTAAGTACTGACACTTAATGAATGGAAAAAATGTGAGTCATTTAAGGCTGCAATTTAATGTCCTGATAGAAATATATCTACAAATTAATTTCTGCATCATTAGAATAGAATGTAAGACATGAGAATGAAAACTTCTCTTTAGAAGAGAATTGCTTGAAGTGTGCGTGTGCATGCATAACAGTATTTAGTTTTTATTTGAAATGTTATGTGTTTTTTTAACATTTTAATGGAAATATGGTCTGTGTTCTAGGAGCTGGAAAAACAACTCTTCTAAATTACATACTGACAGAACAGCATAATAAAAGAATAGCAGTTATTCTGAATGAATTTGGAGAAGGTATGTAAACGTGTGGAAATCTTTCTTTTTGCCACAAAATGACAAGTACATAAAACTACTGGAAACCGACACTGTTGTAACTTTAAATCCATTACTGAAATTATTGACATACCTCACAGTCTTCAGAAGGGCAGAAAGTCTTTTTGCCGGTTGTCGTAAAAAAGTGACGTGCATTAATCTATTTTGCACATAAGTGTAGGCCCTCAGAGTAAAGTAAATAAATACATCACCCTGTTGGAAGTGCTACACCTCCATTTGTCTCACTCAGTTTCAAGCAAATGGAAATTGAAATAATATGTTGGTAGATAATATTTTTTTAAATTTCCTTTTCCCTCAGCCATTTGCAAATCACAAATTATCATTGACCAAGAAAATGGGGAGATGTGTGCTTGATGGCTGTGGTTCTTTGAACTCTTTGCTTTCAGAACTTTTAATTGCTCTAGCTGTAATTTCATATCTGTAGCATAGTCAGCTTACATTGTTTACAGTTTATACTGTGTTAGTCGGGGTCTCTCTGTTTGTTTGTTTTCATCAATAAAGATGTGTATAGCTTTTCTGGTCACAGAGCCTAAAAGAAAACGTACAGACAGAGCCTTTATTTGACAGGGAGGCACAGACTGGCATCCCTTTCTTTTAGTAAAGTTTGTGGCACTTATGATGTGCCGTCATCCAGTGGGGTTTGATCTTTGTGGAATGAGCTTTGTCTTGGCTTTTAAATTTCCCATAAAATGGAAAATACAAATATCTTAAGAACATGTCAGAAACGTGGTGTCAGGAGAAAATAATGTAATCCACATATCTCTCTCTTACAGGCATTGTCATGCAAGATTGTAGATTAAAAATATAGCACTACTTGTGTTTTCAGGAAGTGCCTTGGAGAAATCACTGGCAATCAGTCAAGGGGGAGAACTCTATGAAGAATGGCTGGAGCTCAGAAATGGCTGCTTGTGCTGTTCAGTAAAGTGAGTGCAAGTTCTGTGCAAGTTCTTGCAGTGGATATTGTGGGGAATTGAGGAAGGGAGAAGACATTCAGGATTTGATTCCTGAAACTGATGGTAGAATTGATTGAGACTTCTTTTGTTGGATGAAACAATTGGAATTTGGGAAGTAGAAATTTATTTCCTATTGCTGCCTTACTGGATTTGGTCTTGGTGTCTTTCAGAAAAGTAATCTAAATACCAACTTATAGAGCATGGGGATGTTGTAGAGTAGGGATCTATCCCTCGATTGTTAGTATAATGTGCTTTCATGTAGAGAGCTGAAGATTCAGGTAGGCTGGAACTAGGACTCAGGTTTCCCAATTTCCTCACAAAACGCTTAGTCTGCTTCTTTCTTTGTACATTGGTTACTACTTCAATATAGTATTCATCAGGGAGGATGAATGGAAAACTTTTGTGACCTAATGAAACACAGTATCCAAATCTGTAAGCTGATGGTCATGGTAAAAAACAAGAGAGTATTTGTTCCTTTGACATGTTTTTTTACCCTTTTTGTTTGTTGCAATGCTGAATTGTTTGTGCTAAGTTTGTAAAGGGTAAGGGTCATGGCCTGTTTGTCCTAGAAATTGGGAGAACTGATCTTATGCCTTAAATAGTAATAGGTAGTAAGTAGAAAACAGAGGATCTTACTGGATTCCGTTGTTCTGGGGTGTAAGGAATGCTGTCTTAAGAGAAGCATAAAAGTTTTATATACATTGGGTTTTTTTATTGTTTTTGTATGCTGTTTTATATTCTGCTGTGTTTTATATACAATGATTTCTTTAAAAAATGCTATACATTTCTGCTTAAGGCTGACTTCATCAGCTCTAATTTAAGTAAATTGCACATTAATCTTGGTGTAGGTGAGGTACAAAGGCAGGGCAGCATGCTTCACTTCTACCTCACCCCTTATTCCTGTAATATCAGCTGCCAAACCAAATAGTTCCATATCTACACAGCCCTACTGTCCTTTACAGGTTGTTCAGTGTTTGAAAACAAACCTGGTGGGATTAGGCAAATGATATTTTTAGACTAAAATGAAGCAGAAAACTAAAATTTGCCTAATAATATGCCAGCAGATAACTAAATTTTTGTTGCAGACTGTAAGTCTGCAAATGTCCTGTCTCAGAACTTTTGCTTTGATGATACTGACACTGTGTTCTGCATCAGAAGATACATTTAAATACATGCTTCAGCTTGTTTTCTCTGTTCTCAGGTTTAATTGTTTCTTCTTACAGGGACAATGGTGTGAAAGCAATTGAGAACCTGATGCAAAGGAGAGGAAAATTTGACTATATATTGTTAGAAACAACTGGTTTGGCAGATCCAGGTAGTTCACATTACAATTTTCATAACCATGATAATTATTCTGTTTTTATGAAGTGCTTATTAGCTCACCAGTTAGTTCACTTTGACAGTTGTAATATAAACTGGTGATTTGTCAGGCGCCTATGCTTTGGTGGTGGTACAGACTCCAATGAATTGATTCAAGGTGCAGATATGACGTTGTCTTTGTTGAGTTCTGTTTGCTGACCTTAGTCTAAATTGAATCTAATAGAAATCTGGCTAAAATATATTTCCATTTAGAAAAGACACTGGGCTTAGCAAAGAGAAGCGTACTCTAAAACTAGTAGTTTTCAATACACTTTTGATGTTCTACATTTCTCCTTTTAAAGTCTAAATAGTTAGCATCTGTTGTATTGTTTTGCTGGTTGTGATAGACCTTGTATTTTGTGAAGTTGTAAAACATACTGTGAAACAGACTAGCACATTCTTCTTAAAGAGCAATAATAGATTTTACAAAATTCTTCTGTGCTCTTTAGTGGTATTTATTATAAAAAAAGGTCATTAAACTTGATCTGATGTTAGGAATAGCTATCCAAAACAGTTTTCTCTAAACCATCCACATTAAAAATCTGTTGTAGATGGAGAGGGAAGGAAATTCTTATCAGAAATTCAATTGTTTCCCCTTTAGGAGACTGGTGCTTTCCTCAAAGCTAAATAGTTGTCATTATAAAGTAATTTTCTTCAAAAGACAGGACATTGATTTGGCCTCTGTTACACACAAATTCTGTTTGAGTCAAATTGGAAAACTATTAAGCTTTTTGGGAAAAAAATCAATAGATAGCAGAAAATGATTTCATGTTGTGGTCCCTGCTATATCTTGCCTGAGTAAGCACTAGAACAGCTGACAGGTGTTTGGGTCTGGTACAGAGTGGTGTTTGAAGGACTGCATCGTATCACTTCAGGTGGACAGTTTTAGGTGTTGCAATGACTTTAATCACTGATCTTATTGTTAGCACTGCAAATAGAGTTTTTCTATGAAATACCTCAGTGTTGGTAGTTTACTGGAAAAATCTCAATTTTGCAACTGTATATATACTATGCTTCTTAGGAGCTGTGGCCTCCATGTTTTGGGTTGATTCTGAGCTGGGAAGTGACATCTATCTTGATGGTAAGTGCAGGCTTATTTTCCTGTGTATTGGCATTTCATATCTGCATTTAGAGTAATGTATTATTGATGTTTTAAGGCAAGGTTTGAGAACATGTTTGAAATGTATGAACTTGGTTTTCACACTGGCAGATTTGATCACAGAGGTGTCCCTGCTTATTCTGATGCTTGTTTATTTACTTGGGGAGGTGCTCAGTCTTGCAAAAGCCAGCAAAAGTTGTTTAATGCTTTTCTAAGGGATCAGATATGGACATCTCTTGACAGTGATGTAAGGGGAAAATCTCATTAGCCAGCTGTTATAAAACCTCATTTAGGAGTAATATTACAGCATGCTTTTTTTTCTTTCTTCCTTCCTCCCCTTCTACTGAAGTGCAATGTTTCCTAAAGGGTTTCCTATTTTTCTGAATTCATAAATTGTCAACACCTGGATGTTTCTGCCTTTTGTTTTCTGATTTCTTCACCTATTGTTTTCGTTGGTGCTAATATTTGCTGTGTTCTAATAAAAACCTGAGATTACTGAAAGATAAGTCATCACTGTATGTAGTTAAAGAGCATTTTTTTTTAATGTAGGAAAAAAATTTACTTTTTGGCTTAAAAAAATGCCCTACTAACATTTTGTTCAGTCTGTAAAATACCCATCTAACCAAGGAAGGAAACATTGAGTTCAGTAAGAAGGAGCTTCCTGAGTTTCTGCCAGAGACTTGCAAATTCCTGGTCATTTACCATCAGAATGGCTGCATACACCAGTCAGTCCCTTAATTTGTTTCAATGTTCTGTAAAAACATACCTCAGCCAATTTCCTCTTGTGGAAGATGAGGCATCTACTTTGTAAGAATTTACCTCACCTGATTCTGTAGACATTTTACTATGACAGATAAGACAATGAATAAAAAAATACTTAGGTAACAAGTTTAATGTTCACATACTTTCAGTGCTTCCAGTTTGTTATAACTAGTTGTAAATGTGCTGATATTGTTACCTTTGTGCAGGAGGTTTGCAAGTTGTTAAACTGTCAGCTGCATTTAGCACATTTCTATTTCATTTTAATGCTTTCTTTTAGGTATTGTGTCAGTTGTTGATGCAAAGCATGGATTGCAGGTAAGTTACTAGATTTGTTACATCGCTTAAAACTGCAGCATTAGAACAGCTATTGCAGTAATGTTCATGCGGATTAATTAATTTTATCAATAGCTGTGATTCTTTGAATGAGGACATATTTCATTATTACTGTCTTTTGGATGGCACAGGGAAGTACTGATATTTACAGACACAGCAGCAGGTGTGACAAGAGATGCCAGGTTGCTAAGTTTTGGTTTCTTGGTTGCTTCTAGTTCTAACTCTTCACTCAGGAATGTTGCTTTTAATCCAAATAGGCATTTGCATTGCTGTAAAAACAATGGAGAAATTGGTCACTGGTCTGTGTTACTTGAAAGGAGAGGACTAAGAACAGATGTCTTATACCAGTGTGGTAACAAGTGAGTTAGGGCTCCACCTGGGAAGGGTACTAATGTAATGGTAGGTGTGGAAGGGAGAAATGAGAGCACAGGTGTCTTGGTACTGCTTCACATTAACATGTTATATGGAAGCAGACAAAAAGAGCAGGTATTAATCTGTATATAAAGTATAATGTAAGAATAGACATATAGAACAGTGAGCTTAGGTTGGCAAAGATTGTGATTAATTCAAATAGTTCAGCTTTTTTTTTCTTTTGTTTTTCTTTTTTTTTTTTTTGGTAATAGGGTGTAAATATAACTATTTGCAACTTAATAACTTAGGAGGTGACTGCTTTGATTGGGTATTGAATTTGCACGATTTAAAAAAAAGTGAGCATATGAAAAAATACCTTCATCATTTGAGAAATGCTGCTCACTTTTAAAATTTCAAATGTTTATTTAAATGTTTAAACCTTAACAAAATACAACAAAAGGACTGAATAAGGAGAAAGACCTTAGGGGAAAGGGGGACTATGGGGAAAACAGAGAATGTCCAAACAACAAATCACAATAAGGTGACTATACATTAATAGAACTTCTCTTACACACACATAATATTCATCCTTTAATTGCAGGAGCCAGCCTCTACATTACCCATCTATAATAATCGTGTAGGAATTCCATGCTGTGAAAGTGTTTGTAATATTTCTGCATCTACAATGGCTGCAGATAGCTCAGAGAACTGAAGAATAATGGTTTAAGAATAAGAGAGTAGTTCTTCCCATGTAAGATTTTTTTTGTTTGGATTACTTGGGTTTCTCCTTTCAGTTGTGCTTATCTGATAGCTGATTTACCAAAAGGGTAAATTTGGTAAAAAAACCAAAAAAGGATATCAGATTTGATTTAACAAAAGGGTAAATCAGGTTAGCAGTCCTGTTCTCTCATCGATTTGTCTTGGACTGGAACAGAGAAAATTGAACCTCATAGCAATTTGGGAAGTTAAGTTCATTGTGTTCTGCAAGAACTTTTGTGGAGAAGTTGGTAGAAGAGTGAGGGGAAGGGGGTGATTTGCCCTTCCAAGCAGTCACCGTCTTCTAAATCACCTCAACTATCACAAGAAATCATATCATGTTTTTGGTCAGCCCCTTTTCAGCTGGGTTCCCTCATATTAATTCAGATGTGTTTTATAGTATGTATTGCTTGCAAAAATGTTCTTCTGTTTATCTTTTTCTTCATGCAGTGTTGAAATATTGTCTCAGATGAAATATAATTGTGTTGCACACAGCAGCACTACATTGTTAATGGAAATGAGTTTTAAAATGCTAGACTATCAAGTAATATAACAGAAACAACACAAGAATGTTTTGAAACATTTAAATTTTCTATCTGCTATTACCTTTGGCACCTCAATGAAAACATACATAATCTAATCAGTAAGCCTGTAAAACACTGACATCTACACAGAATAGTGGGAACTTCAGACTTTCTTAGTTGTGTACTAAGTAAACTGTGGTATAGAAGGACTTGCTAACTTGTTTAGTTCCTCTGATTGCAAAACCTGACCTCAACAGCTGTTTATTATTCAAAGAACTTTGAAAGCCATACAGGTAATGGCATTGAGATAATGTGCAGCAATTTAAGTATGTCATGCTTCAAAGAACCAACCCATCGCAGAAAAGCTGACAAAGATCCACTGTGACCAACCATACCACCATCCCCATGCTAATTAATACCATGGATTATCAATTTAACAGGTTTGTCACACAGCAATCTGAAATACTAATTTCTTTAATTGAGGGTGAACAGTTGGGCAGCTTGAAGTTGCAGTCCTCAACTTCCAGGACCTGACATCAGAACTACTGACATTTGATCTTTTCAGGGCAACAAACCTAAACAGTAATTGAATAGAATCAATACACAGAGGATTACAAAGAAGAGGTTAGAGGAGAGGTTCCTGAGAGTCATCTTGTTATTTTCTGCTTAGGTTGTGCACAAGCAGGAAATAGTTTTGTTTCTTTTTACATAATAAACTCCCAGTATGCAATAACCTATTTTTGCTTTTCTACAAGTAAAATACTGTTAAATGCCTGGTGATTCCAATAAAGAAAAAAAGTTTTCAAGGTTTTTAAAAAGCTGTATATTTCCCATGACAATTGATTCCACTTTTGTTATTTCTCTAACTGGAAACTGAGATTTTAAAGTAATATTACTGGTTGATTTAGAGGTGATGAAGGAGTGCACAGGATAACTTTCCTAGAGATGTAAGTGCAAGCAGCAAGTTCTTATTAATATTACAGCACCAGTTTGAAGTTTTTCTTCCTCCAGATGTCTGTGACATTTCTATCCTGGAGATTGCTACCTCCATGGCAGAGTGGGCTGAAAATAACTTATAGCTAGACCTTTGCTGCTTCAGTGTAGTCTGTTGCTGTGCCTAAGTTAAGTAAGCCTTTGTCTTGCTAAATGTTACGCTGCTGCTTGAGATGCAGGTATTTTCTTCCCTTTCACTAATTCTTCTGTGAAGACACTAGCTTGGGCAGACAAATGAAGATGATACTGAAACTCCTGTAGCTTCTGATCTTGGACAGACTTGCCAAAGAGCAGTGGTTTATTCATGCAAACCTGGAAAAAGTTACCAGTTTTTACTATCAAAGTACAGTTTGTCTTTGAGTCTTCAGAGAAAAAGAATGTGAAGTTATATATAAGAAATGTTGTATTGCAAGCCTAGCCTTTGTTTTGTTTGTTAGTTGAGTTCACACTCCTTTGTAAAATAACTGAACCTTAATTTTCTTCCAGATATATTTTTTCATTGTTACTCTATGTTATGGTAACTTTTTTACTTCATTGTAAAGCTGAAAATTAATTAAATATTATAAGGTTTTTCAACCCTTTAGCATTCTAATAATAAAGTCAATTAGGAGAGTTTGCTTTAAGCTAATTAAAAATCCCTGTAATGATGAATATATAAATGTACTTTTTCACTATCATTTAACAAAATGATTCTGGATGCCATCTTCCTCAATGCTTTGTCAAAAAACAGACTTCAACTGAATTGAATTTGGCTTTCTTTAATTGCAAATCAATTTAAATGTAATTTGAAGATGTTTAATCCAATTCTTTTAATTTTTGTTTAGCACTTGACAGAGGAGAAACCAGAAGGCCTTATTAATGAAGCATCTCGGTATGGATGTAGAAATTAATTTTAGATATCAAGTTGGGAATTGCACTGTATAAAAGTTCTTTTATAGGGAAATGGCTTCTTTTATGGGGCTTTTTTCTCCTGCTTTGCTTAAATGGAGGTAGATTGGTGTAATGAGGTAAAATGTGGAAAAGTAACATCATGGTTCATTTGATCTTTCTGCCAACAATGAACTGTTCTATTTTAATAGTGATGGGATTTTATTTAAATGAATGAGAAGCACCCTTGTTGGTGGAATTAAAAATGTCATGCTTGAAGCAGAACTGGAGATAGAAGAATACTTTTTAGTAAATGGAGAGCCTCAACATTTAAGGGTTATTGTAACAGTTGAAGTCTTCATAAAGCAAAGAAACTTCAAGTATTGCATTGCAAGGATCACATAAGGATATAATCTCATTGGCAAATAGGGATTTGTAAAGTTGTTAAATCACTAAGCACTTTGGATTAGATGACATAAAAAATCCAAACAAACAAATAAACAAAACAACCCTGAAATAAAAGAATCTAGCAAGCCTTGATTTGATCTGTTAGGACACAGAAGAACATACTGAGAAGTCAGTTGTGTTTTAATCATTCTCCATCATGTTCTAGTTTGTTTAATGCTTGCCCTTCTGTACTAACAATGTTCATACTACCTTTTCGGGCCATGGGAGAGATAATGTTTCTGCCTTACAGATAAAGTACTTGTTTGTTAGTGATGTCTTTTCTCTTCTTCTTTTCTTAATACATAGGCAAGTTGCATTAGCTGATCTTATAATCATCAATAAAACAGATTTGGTTTCAGAAGAAGAATTGAATAAAGTCAGAACGTCTGTGAGGTATGAAACTTTTGGCATAACTGTAACACTACTTCCTCAAAAATTAATTTAAACACAGTTACTTCTTTACTGCTGTTAAAATAGAAATTAGATCTCATTATTAGATGGACAAAATTGATAAGCTTTATAAGAGAAAAGAGACTGCCTCTTGTGAAAGATACTTCAGTACTTCTATGTACTTACACAATCTTAGCATTTTGTCTATCTTGCTAAGATTTGATGTTGTTTAGTAAGGACAGACCTTTGTCTTAAGTGTTTATGTTTTTATATTTCTGAGCAGCTGATGCCATTTTTTGAGAATTAGCAGAAGTGGAAAAAAATCTGCTGGTAAATATGAGTTCACTAGCAAATGGAAATATATATGGAGGAAGTCCCAAACAATTGTCGTGGAAGCAGATGAACCAATGGTCTGAATCAAATTAATGATCGAAGACATTACTCTTTTCTTTCAGTACCATGATAAGCCAGATGAAGCATTAACATTTTAAAATATTTAACAACTGTATTAGTTTTTTGAAATATGAAAATAAAAGTGCTTAGACTGAGCAGAGTGTATTGCGAATAGCTTTGGATAGGAAAATGCTGTGGCATCTTGTTGTCAGAACTTGTGAAGTTCGCCAGCTGTTAGTGGAAACCAAATATCTCAACCCATATCTGATAGTTATTTAACAAGCTGATAACGGAGTTGAGATGCTATTTCACACGATGCTGTCCATGGTTAACGTATTCAAACAATATATCGCCATTATATTTTCATCTAACTAATGATTTTTCTGTTTTATTTCAGGTCAATAAATGGACTTGTTAAAATTCTAGAGACGCAAAGATCAAGGTATTAAATGGCCACTATTACTAGGTACTAGATCCTGCTTCTTTTGTATCAGTTTAAAGTATTCTATTGAATCAGTTTTATTAAAGGAAAATTATTGAATTAGAAATATGTAATCCAATATTTATTTTATGAATAAGCATCTAAAAATTTTTTTAGGAAGTAAAAATGTATTTCTAATTTGTATTTTTCTTCATTAGTGTTCATATCACAGAATACCAGAATGAGTGAGGTTGGAAGAGAGCACAGTGTCCAACCCTCTTGTCCAACCCTCTTGCCAAGCAGGGTCATCCCAGAGCACATGGTGCAGGATTGTGTCCAGATGTTTTTTTAATATCCCACATGAAGGAGCCCACAGCCTCTCTGGGCAATCTGTTCCTATCACCCACACAGTAAAGTACTTGCTCATGTTCAAGTGGAACTTACTGTGTGTCAGTTTCTGCCTGTTCCCTCTTGTCCTGTTGTCTGGCAGCACTGAGAGCCTGGTCCACCCTCCTTTCAGATACTTCTATACACTTAGAAGGTCCCCTCTCAGTCATCGTTTTGAGTCTGAACAGGCCCAGCTCCCTCAGCCTTTCCTCATCAGTGAGGTGCTTCAGTCCTTTAAACATCTTTGTTGCCCTCCCCTGGACTCCCTCCAGGAGCTCCGTGTCTCCCTGTGCTGAGGAGCCCAGAACTGGGCACAGAACTCCAGGTACAGCCTTACTAGATTGACTGGAGGGGCAGGATTACCTTCCATGAACTGCTGGCAGTGCTCTTCCTAAGGCATCTCAGGACACCCTTGGCCATCTTGGCCACAAAGATACACAGTCAATCAACCTTGTGACTGAAGAGCAGTTTGCACAGCCAGGCTGGTTTTGAGCTAATAATTGAGTATGTGCACTACAGTGTTTTCCTTCAATTGTGTCACCCTAAATATTATTCTCATTGCTGCTGCAAATAAGTTGTTACTACAAAATGACTTTGAAAGCAGTGGAAGGAAGTTAAAAGACCAAAACGAAAAATCATTGCACTGTTTTTTGCCAATTTTAATTGAAATTCTGAGTCAGATTTCTTCTTTAGTAAGGACTTAAATGGATTCTGTATTCCCAGGAGAGTTAGGAGAGCAGTAGATCTTCTTCTTCACTGCTAGGACTGATTTGTGCACTTTTACATCAATTATTGGATTATTGTGGTCAGTGTTTGTGAAATAGAGGTTTTTGATTTAACCAAATTTAAAGGAAAGGTAATATTCGTAATAAAGTATACTTGGCTTTTTAAAGTTGCTGTCAAATGTAGTTGGAAATTGTAGAGAAAAATACGTGCTGTTGTTGGGTGATCATATGGGACCAGTTTTGAAGAAGATACTGAACTACATTATTTGTGTTTTAAATGTCCATTAGGGGGAAATCCAACATGTGGTCTCTTTGCGTATTTTATAGTGTCTGATGCCAGCTAGCACTATGTTTTGGATATGGGATAAAGTGGGCCTCAGATTCACTCCTCAATGACAACTCTTTGTTACTTGTAAATATTCTTCTGCAAATGACACATACAGTCTCTTCCATTATTAAACGTTCCAAATGTGAAGTCAGCACAAAATTGATTTATTGGCATGTTATTTGAGGACATACCCTTAAGAGGGGTTTGCTCCTCAAAACCCCACATTTAAAAGGGAGGGTTGCTATGTGATTTTTTAGAACACTGCTGAGAACAACTGACACTGAGCTGGTCATTAATTTTACACAGGAATTGTTTGTGTATTCCATTATAAATCTTTCATCTTAGAAACTGCTTGGTACAACTACTGTTGAATGTAAAAGTTTAATGATTCTGCTTGTATTCTAGAGGTGGGGCTTTTTACCTGTCATGTTCTTTTTCTTTAGCCCATGTCATTAACTGTGTCTGAAAAGCTGTCAGTTGCTATTAGCAGTGAAATCTGTGGTCTGTATTGCTTTGTGAAGAAAAGTTTCTTATGCAAGTTTATAGGTAGCCATTCTTGTAAGCAGATGTGATTGGTACTGCCTAATCTGTATTGCATTTTTTATTTGTCTTTTCAAATTGTAGAGTTGAAATTCGTAGTAGTAGTGCTTCCCTCATTAAGTTGTTTCTGTTTTGTTTGCTAACAGTGTGTCAATATAAGCTACATGTATTCTGGGAGTTTGTGTCTGTATTGAGAGGCTCAAGGCTCCTTTTCCCCTTCAGGGAAAATAATTTTTTATTCAGACAAAATGAATAAGGGATTTTATCATACTTTTGGAAATACCTTGTATTTTACTGTATAACAGTAAAATTTTAAAAGCTTTGTTTCTGTGCTTACATGTTATTGTGTAACTTAACACAGCATTTTCTTGTAGAAGACAGTACCAACCACTGATATCCAAAAATAAGGCTAAGTATTAATGGCATTAGTCTTATAGACAAGAAAAGAAATATATGCTTCAGTAAACACCTTTAAAACCTTTAAATACATGAAAATACATGAAAAACACAAAGCTTGCTTTTTTCCCCTCTCTTTAGAGTTGATCTCTCTAATGTATTGGACCTACATGCTTTTGACAGTTTATCTGGAGTGAGGTATGGTGATAATTTTCTTCTCTTGTATTAGGAAAAAAATACCTGTGTATGAAACAGACACACTGAAATCCTGGCTCAAATTTGCATCAGAGTTTCTCTTAGAATTTCTAGTTTAGTCTGTCCTGTCTAGACAAGGACAGTCCCATTTTAAAAATTACTGCTTTATAAGTGGCAATACTAGATGGGATTCCTTTCTTCTTCAAATGTCTGCAAAAACCTTTTTGACCTTATAAAGTTAAGTGAGCCAGAGTTTGTGTGGTTGGTTGGGTTTTTCCCCAAAATGCAAGTTTTGGTTTAGTATCAGAGTAGATTTGTACACTTCTCTGGTTCTTTGAAAGCATTTCAAAATTTTTTCTCCTTTGTATTGTGATGAAATGGAGGCTGTAGATTTCACACAAAAAAATGAGGGACTGAGGTTCCACAGCAAACAAAGGTTCTACAAATTCTGCTAACTGCGTTTGTCATTCCTGGGGTTTTTAAATGCTGAATGCATGATTCAGCATCCTGGATGGGTGCAGGAGTAAAATGAGAAGGAAGGGGGAAAGGTCGTATGGTTCATTGTGTGAACAGAAAGACCTGAAGAACAGCAAAGGGAGTGAGGAGTACTGGAGCAATCATAAAGTAAAGGAGGGAAAAGGAGGGTAATATCAGCTTCATTCTTCAGCAGGGAGAAATTGCAGACATGCAAATTAGTAACATCTATTAGATAACATGTGCTTGTGAGATTTCCCTCTGAACTGGTACAGTACTATCAAAATGATAGGTTTTGTCTTTTTTTGCTGGCTTTGTCTAATCAGTGAAATACTGTAGTGTTTGTTTCAAGATTTCTACCAATGGCAGCATCAGCGAAATATCAAACTAGGCATCCAAAACAAAGTTAAGGAAGGAAGGAGATTGGTATATCCTTTAGAGGCAATAGATAACTATTAGTTTGTAAGCCAGATCATAAATCCACGTTCCAAGTTCTTATAATGGATCAGCTAACTGAATTGACTCATCCGGGAGCCACACAGCAGAGATAAAGCAGTAAAAAGACGTGAACCAGAAAAAGATTGTTCCTGTTAACAGCAGTTCACAGGTAGATCTGATTACTTGTAATATTAGGTGGTGTTCTGTGAAGTTTACTAGTTTGCTGCACTCCACAGATCTGAGATAGTTCTTAAGGAACTGACAAAAAAAAATCTTTATTGCTTTCCTCAATCTAGTGCTCTCTTATCTTACTCAGTTACTTTGAGCTTCTTAATAATTGGTATTAAAACAGAGGAAGCACTCTAAAACATTTGTCAGCATTTAAAGACAAATTCTAAATTACCAAGAAGATTGCAGACAGTTTATTTTGTTTATGTTTGAACTCAGCACAGCAAAATTGCTTACCCTGTTTTTAGTTCCTAGACACAGAAATTCTTACATAAAATAGTGGTGGTTTCAGTGCCATCACCTGAGTAGAAAAACTTTGCATCCAACACCTACTTGAACACAAATACACACCAGTACATAAATAATTTTTTTCTTTTGATGGCACACTGCAGGAGGGATTTCTGTCAGCAGACAGATGTGTCATCTGTTTGGTGTGACTGTGTGATAGAGCCTTGTAGTCTGGATATACCCTGAAGTCACAGGAAGCACATAATGAATTCTGGATTCTGTGAAGGGCAGTATGAGAATAACACAGCAAAGCAAAGGAAGTAGGAGAAGTAGGAACTACTTCTGTAGCAGATAGTGCCTTTTTTCCCCACCATAAAGGCTTCTTAAAATATTACAGTCATCACATTAGGAGGAGGGACTTTAATGGGCAATCTTCTCTGAAGTGGCAGAGGGCATCATAGTAACTTGTGCTACGGTATTTCTTCTCTGTTTGTTATTTACAATATAGAGAGAAAACAGAAACAGTATAGAAGATGGTATTTGAAGAAATTTTATGCTATCTTGATTAATTGAGACAGATGTGGATGTGTCTAAAAAAAAAAAATATCCAAAGTTGCAATACAATTTTCACACGAAAAGATGCAGTAAGACCCTAAATATTAGTTTACAAAAGAGGTTCCCAAGTAGAGCTTGAACTTAGGGTCTTAGTGAGTAGAGAGTATCTGTTTTAAGTTAGCAGGCACACTGCATAGTAGAAGTGAGCTGTACAGATGAGAAGTGGAAGCTGGTATACAGTATTTCAATAAGTGTTACAGATTTCATTCTCTCAAGCAACAGCTTTGTACATTCTTTTCTTCTTCATTTTCAAATAATTGTAAAGTTTTTTAAAATATGAACATCTATTAACTTGATAAATTCTTGTGGTTTATTTTTTCTTGCTTGTTTTAATGATGTAGTTTGCCTTTTTTGCAGAAAGGAGTATCAAGGGCCTTGTGTTCATTGAAGTATAAATGTTTTTAATGCTGAAGATATTGCAAATCAGGACTATAATTCTCTTTATGTTTTAAAAAGCATAATTTTCTAACACAAACAACTATAGAAAACAAATATAGTTAAACATTTCTATTTTGAGATTAAAAATTAATTAACTGTTGAAGCTTATTCTGAATATGTAGTCTATCTTTGATATTTCAGCTTTGCTCTGTAATACTGGAATTTTAAAAATTTTGAAATAATGACATTTTGCCAATCCTACTCAAATGCGACATTTAACTTCACTTATTTTCAGTTTGCAGAAAAAGCTTGAGCATGTAAAGACAACACATGCACATCTAGATAAGGTAATTACCAAAAATGCTGCTTTGATGTTTTTGCAACAACAGGGCTGTTCAATATTGCATGCTAATTTTGTTACCATTTCAGAAGGTTTCAGTTAGGGAGTAACGTGTTCTAAGGTATTTGGAAGATGACCTAGATTACAGAAAAGGAATATGCTTTATTGTAAATAGATTCTAAATGGCTATATTAAGTCTCACTTGTAAAGATAGCTTATAGGCTTCCAGTGCTCCAGACAGTCATATCATTTGTTGATTCACATGGAGAGTATTAGTGAACCAAATAGAACCACTTTTTTTTTTTTTTTTAGGTATTTGCAGGAACAAGTCCTAAATTTGTAGCCAGTCTGTCCTATAGGTTTTCTATCCAAAACAAAATCTCTCTAGTTGAATTGTGCGTCACAGTCCTCCTTGGGGTGTCCGTAGGTGGGTGGAGTTCACCCATAGGCCACGAGTCCCCTCAGAGGCTGCAAAAAAGTAAAAGTTTCTATTTTTTTAAGGTGTATTGGAGAAGTGAGCTTTCTGCAGAAGGTTTCTATAATTAAATTGAATTTTCAGGTTAAAATATGATGCATACAATGCCTGTATTTTTATTTTTAAACTGCATAATTTAACTGTGAAGTTGCTAGTCTTGGAAACAGGAAAAGGCAATAATAATTTAATTTTGGAACTACAGATAAATGCAAAATCAGTTCATACTTAATTACAATGACAATACTGATAGTTTTTGTTTAATCAAAATTCTTAAATATGCTCAGTTATAGAATCTTAATGGATCCCTAAAGTAGATGGAAATGTTGAATAGAATCCTTCCTGAATGTTATGAGTTATAGTATCCTTGTGTGTTTTATTAAGGAGATTAGTGTTAGTTTTGTAGTGTGTAGCCATTCGACAGAACTCATTGTTAGTATCTGTGTTTAGTTTAACACCTGCATATTTAAGATGGTTGTTGAGATATTTGAGGCATAATGAGGGCAGAACACTTCTCACAGTAGGCTGCAAGTCCTTGTTGTAAGACAAAGTGTGCTTATTATCTTCATGTTGAAGGTCAGCAGAAACAAACTGCACTGTGCTTGGAGCACAGTGAACTTCGGTCTGACGTGTTTTGAAGCTGCTCAGCGTGTTAGCTCTTGTTTAGATAAGTTGTTTAGATAAGTTTACTTATCATTAGACAAACATTTGCTGCTTGTTGCTTTAATTGTTTTTTCCTTAAGTTTAGACTAGTGATCAGAAGGTAGTAATTTGAAAGCATTACAGGAAGTAATTCTCTCTCTGTTCCTCCAAACCATTGAGCAGTTATAGTGACAAAAATAAGACATTATTTAGTCTTTAAATAAATTGTTAATTTTAAACTACCTGTTTTATTTTCATATTTTCTTTTGGTAATTGATCCTGAGCAGTTAGCTGGCAGTTGCTTTGGCACAAAACTTAACTTGAGACATCTTTATTTTCTGAATCTATTCCTACATAGTCTGTTTATAAACAGCTTTTTTTACAAGGCAAGTACAGATTGCCTTTTATGAAAATTATGTTGTATTTTTTGTCTGATAGTATTGTCATTAAGATCAGTAAGCCAAAAAAATAGCATTGTTAACCATATTTGAAAGCTTGATCATAATAGTCTCTACAGCAAAGAATTACATGGTAGCAACTAATGGCACTAAACTATTCAAGGCATTGTATCTACCCTATAAGTGCACACCCAAACAGAAACAAAAAGTAGAGCTTAATTTAGCAAATTAGAGCAGAACAGAAATAGAGTTTTGGTTTTTTTTTTAAAGTTGATGTTGTCATATACTTGCCTTTTTATGAGGCCAAGTTATAAAGAACACTTTTTGAAATTACTGTTACGGGATGTTTATTCAGTGTGGTAATAATAAGTGTCTTGCCTTTTGCAGGCTATAATTACAGTAACATTTGAAGTTCCAGGAAATATAAAAGAAGAAAACTTAAATCTCTTTATTCAGGTAAGTAATACATCACTGTCAACTCAAAAAATCACGGTAGCTTTTTATAGAAACTCATCCCATGCCACTTTGTTTATGGAAACAACTTTTTCTTTTCATAGAGTCTTCTGTGGGAGAAGAATGTGAAAGATAAGACTGGATGCACCATGGATGTCATAAGACTGAAGGTCAGTCTGAAATTATCAGTTTCTTTGTTTTGTGTTTTTCATTTTTATACCTAAAAAACTGCATTGTGCTGTCAGTTATGGACCTATCAAAGGTGCTGCTGATCACTGTAGGAGAGCAGATGAAATGGAGAGTAGCAAGTTGTCATTCCATGAATGACTCAGAGAGAGATAGTTGGCAGAAGGGCAAACATTGATCCTACTTGTTTTAAATGGGGAGGGCAGATGTACAGTCCCCATACATCAATGGCAGGGCTAAAAATCAAGCCATAGTTAAATCACTTTTAATTTTATACCTCCATTGCTTTGAGAGATACTATTCATCTCACATATCTAGGGTTGGGATACTGTAGATTGGATCCTATAGATTGCTAGGTGTAATTAAAATTATTGCCATAATATGCAGAAATTCAGTTTGGTGTAACATAGGAATGCAGTAGTAGTTGTGGTGTACAATTAACAAGTTTTTACAGTATTGTCAGGCTGTTGTTTTAAAGATGCAGCTCATAAGTATTCATCTTCATGGGCACTTCATATGTTCTTCAGTTGCTTGGTTTGGAGAAGAGTAGAGGTGACAATTCAGGATCTACTTTCATTTACCTTATGCCAAGCAGCCCAGGAAATAATGAAAAAATAAGAATCCAGTCAGTCATTTGTCAGGCTGTAAGAAATATAAGAAAGTAAAGCTGTGGTTTGTTTCCTGAGAACCCTTGACCATCATAGATAGAAACATAATTATTCTAGTTTTATAGGAAGGAAAGTTGTTTTCTTGCTTTCTCAGCAACAAAATTAGAGTATCCTGGTCTTCTCCTTCCTAACAAATAGAAGAGAGTAGCCACTGATGTATCTGAAGCTGTCTGAAAAGCAGTAATGCTATGCACAATTGTGTTTTTGGTGTACTGAGCACTGGAATCAAATTAATTCTTTATGAGATGTGAAGCCTGTGGTAAGATGTGTGCTGTCCGTCAGTCACAGACAAACACACCAAAGCAAATGAACCTCAGGCAACTAATTACAGAACAGGTTCCAAAGTTTGTTGCTTTTATATTTATATTTTATCTGCAGTCATGACCCTTTTGGCAGTAATAGTTATAGAATTCCAACTAATAGGTCAAATGGAGACCTATTTTATGAAATATTTTAAACTTTCTTTCTTTAGGGAAATGTCCTGGTTTCGGGCAAATTCTGGGAGGAACTTCCAGGAAGTATAAGACATGTTTTACAGAATGTGTTCCACTAAAATATTTTAGAACATTGTGCTATGAAGTGATGAAAACTGTTTTAATAGAGCTTTTGATATGTGAGTTAGTGGACTCATGCTGACTGTGATCTCTTCTAATTCTGCTGCTAGTTGTTCTACTTCACAAATGTTTGTTCTTTCCCCAATATTCAGAGATGCTGTTTCAGAAAAGTAAATATACTGAGCATAAGAGCTTAATTGGACTAATCTGAAATCAGACATTTTTGTTCATTTTACATCATTTGTTGGCATGCAGGCTTTCATGGACTCCCATGTCAAACACCGTATATGCATTCAAAGAGGCATAGTAGATGATGACATTTAATTTTTGCTTGGGCAGCCTAGGTACTGACAAATGAGGAACAGAAGGCAAAGTATGGTAAAATGTGATTCTTAGCCTTTAACAAAATAAGGAGATGTGAAAATGGATGTTATGAGTACATGTGTTGATTGGTAATATATGTTTATTTTGACTAACAAGTTCATAGGTGCCAGAAGTACTATTCCCTGCTTGAACTAGATTGGAAGTTTTGTTTCCCTTCTTACATATTTTATTTTTTAAAGTTTTGTTTATATACCCTAACAGTTATTTTTCTGATAAGGGACTGGTATCTATTCAAGGCAAATCTCATCAAGTGATAGTGCAAGGTGTGCATGAGCTCTATGACCTAGAAGAGACTTCAGTAGCCTGGAAAGAAGATGAAAAGAGAACAAACAGGCTGGTCCTAATTGGTAAGAAGAAATTATGCATCTCCTTGTTTGAGTTTAAAAAGCTGTTTTCTTACAGACAGTCTCACAGACTTGGCCATTTAAAAGCAGTCAGGCTAAACTGGCCAGAATTAGTGCAGTAAGTTTGTTCAGCTTAACCCTCTTTTTAAGACTTATCCATCAAAACCTCCTGAAGTTCAAAACTGCAGCTGAGAGGAGTCTACACTATCCCCATTAGTGCCACCAAAATCAAATCAAACCAAATCAATAAAATACTAAGCTTTCATAAATTATGTTGGCATATTTAATCTTGTTTCTAAAATCTGTAATTATAAATTGGGTGATGGGAATAGTTTGAATGGTTGATCAAATATTTAGTAACTGTAAGGAAGGTTATTATAGCTTTAAAATGTTTAAAATCAGTTTTGTTTTTGAAAAGTTTGCAGTGCTGAGGTTCTGTGTTTCTGCTTTCTGTTTCTTTGTTTGCTGTGCAAAGTGTTTTATTACCAAAAATAACCTACTTTTTTCCCTTTCCCTTATTTGTGCTTGAAGTCTGTTGTTGCCTTAATTTTAATACTACTATTGTCACTGATTGATATAATAAACACTTCCTTAGGTTAGAAGAAGCTACTTGTATGTGTTTTAATGCATTTTAAAATACAGTTAGATATTTTATTTCTCTTTACAGGCAGGAACCTGGATAAGGAGATAATCAAAGAAGTATTCATAGCCACTGTGAGAGAAGAACGAGGAAACAGTTGACATAAAGCTATAAAAAAGATTAAATGTCTGTTTTAATACTGCGAGGATTTTATGGCAGAGAAGACTGAATGGCATGGACTATAGTAGTTTCTATATCCTCTTGCAGTTTATGCAACAGTTGAACCCTGAAGTCTTCCTAAGAATTCCAGCTAACCTACTGCTTTAAGATTAGCTCTTATGGTCTAGAATCAAACACAATTCTCCTATTTTAGATTTGGCTGAAGCTGTGTCAGCAACATCATGGAACTGTGCAGAAATGGAGACAGGCAAAAGGCTGTTATGTTCTACGTGAAACGTTACTGTGGGGATATGGGGAACGTGTTTGAAGCCTAGTGCTTTCTCTTGCTAACTCTCTTCCACTGGGAATGATGCAATAGTGATTATTGCCAGTGATATAATCACAGTACAAAATGTTTAGTGTTTACTATTAAACTGTCTTCCATCTCTTTCCACTTGCTTTGTGATTTTTGAGTGTATGCACCCATCCCAGGTACTGTTCTACCTGTAAACCTGTTGTGTAATGAAACTAAAAATACACAGGTAGCAGAGGGACAAGATCACATGGGGTAATTGCTGTCTACACAAAAGTTGTGCATACAGTGTTTGGTCACATAGTCAGCAGTTTGAAAGAGGTAACTGAACTCTTCAGTGTTATAGGCCATCACCCTGCCAGTTCAGGATCTGGGGAACTGGGGACTGCACCTTTCCACTATGTTCAGGCTGCTCTGCATGATTTCTTAGGGGGTTCTGTGACACTACTTTGAAAACACAGTCTGAAGCTTTTATCTCTCTGCTATTACAATTTAGAGTTGAACTTCTTGCCCTGTACATTCTCCAGTACTCTTCGTTCACCTCTTAGCTTTAGAGGGATATTTTGACTGCAGCTGTGTGAAAGCAAAATGAGTCAATGCAGGAAGATAATGTAGAATTAAAAATGTTTGCAAACTAAGTTCTAGGACATGCAGTTCTGAAGGATGGACTTTTAGCTATAGTGCTTGCTGTGCATGCTTGGTGATGTGTCTGAGTAAGCAGAAACTTGTCTCACACCTAACATTAAAAAGAAAAGAAAGAAGGCCATTCCCTCAGTCTCTCCTTCAGGCAGTGTCAGGAGTCTTTGCTTCTACTGCAGTATATGAGTTTGGAATTTGTTTTCAAAAGAGCTGAGGATGAAGACATTCATCTTTCACTGCCCGGAGCTGGTGTCTCAGTTGATTAATTTAAATAATGTATCTTAGCTGAGATAGAACTCTTTACTCTCCCAGTAGATACATCGGCAAGCATGACTTCATTCCTCACATTAGAAGTAGCTTTAGATAGCTTGAGGTAGTTTTCAGGACTTATTTTTTTCTCTGAAGCAAGGTATAAAGAGAGAACAATCTGCTTACACAATGTTGCTTTCTGTTTAGCAGACCTTGGTCGCACCTGAGTGAACTGGTATAGCTGAGTGACACTGTTTCCCTTAGCAGTTAGAACTCTTCATTTTTAAAACCAGTATATGTTCTCATACTGTTTTGGACTGCATAAATGACACACAGTCCTGCATGAAAATTTGTCAAATGATTGCCATCACTGTTATTCATTGAGTATCAAGATCACATAAATTTAAATTTGTGGATAATACATTTATAATTTTTAGTGCTTTTGCTTCTATTTGTCACAGGAAAAGTGATCAAAATGCCTCTTATAAAGGCCTCATGTAATGGAGGAACTCTGTTCTCTTTAAGGCAATTAATCTCTGAAGTGTTGTTAACTTTCAATTTGAAAGAAAGTTCAGAGACCTAATACAAAGAGCTTCAACCATGAGTCATAAGGGAAAAAGGGATGGATGGCTTACACAGAGTCATTTTTGGGTGCTTATTTTTAAATATTTGTTCACCCAACACACACTCCACCACATGATAAAATTTCCATGATGACTGTCAATATACTGGGGGTTTTGTTGCTGCAGAGGGGCATTTCTGCAGCTGGAAGTATAAGCTCTGCACTCTGTATAGCTCATGTTGGTACCACTTACCCTTTCTTGCTGGGACTTCTCCTGCACTGCTTGCAATGCTCACACCAGAGAAGCTCTAGGCAGTACGCACATCTTGCCTGCCTGTCTTCTGTAAACTGCCTGCATATTTCAAGGCATCCCCTGGGATGGAGAGCAAGCAGCTCCTCAGCATGGGTGGAGTTTGTTCTCCTCTTGCTGGCTGTCAGGATGCCCCAGTGCTTTGTCCTCTATTCTGTTCACACATAATGACACTGGAAAAATGCCAAGCACCTCATCTTTATCCCCATCTCCCAAGAAGCCCACTGGTTACATTTCTTGGATATTTATTTAACCAATATTTTCTGTTCTTACATGCACAGGCTGGGGTCCTATGTCTTGTCTTTGCATCATGCCAGAACCAAAAGAAAAGGAAAGATAATGACAGCTCTGTAAAAGCTGTGTAATTACTGTAATATTTGTGTTACTGGGAGCTATGTCAAGAATGGCCTTCTCCAAGGAGCTACAATTGGGCTGAAGTGAGGTTGTGTGGGAGGGTGAAATGGACAGGCAGACACCACTCAGCCCTGTCTTGGGGTTGTGGTGTGGATGGTGGGGAAGCCAGGGGATGCTCAGGTTAGGGTGAGGAGGGATCTGGTGAAGGCAAACATTAACAGTTCTTCCTGTGCAGCTTCCAACAGGGGCACAGCCACACCTGAAGAAATGATGGCTATCTAGACCTGGCCTTACTTCCCAGCCAGATAGCTTGCAGTAATGGTGGTTCAGTCCCTCCACCAAGAGCACAAAACTACGTAGAAAGTGATCTTGTCAACAAACCCCACACATTTTGTTCCCTAGCAGGGGCTGAGGAGTTTCTGTCCTAGAGGGAAATTGCAATGATTTGATCATTGTGCCTTCATGAATATCAGACATCTACAGAAATAGACTTTACAAAGCAGCATTTTTCCCCAAGGTATACTTTCCACATGTTTTTAGGAGCTCCATTAAACTTTAACAAAAATTATATCCTTAGACTCTTGTGCCGTTTGTTTATATCACCTGTTAGGTTTAATCTTCAGGAATTACCTGGGAAGATTAATGGATGATCACAGTTTAATTTATTAGGCCCTTTAAAATTTAGGCAGTTCTGAATTTGGTAGTATTTTACAAGATTCTTACTTTTTAATCCTTATATATAACCTGCCACCTGCTGGAGCATGGAACATGTTTTCCATGTTCCATTCCAGCTCCTGTAGGCAGGATGTGACCAGAGGGGACACAGGATGGATAGATTTGGCTTTCCCAGCCACCTGCTGTCCTTGTGAGCCACCCTGTTTCTCTATTGCCATCATCAGCCCAGCTGCCCTGCAGAGCTCACAGCAGCAGCATCTGCCTCTTCTTGTGGGGCATTTCCTCTGCTACCATGAACATTGGCCCAAACAGTGTCCATTTTTTGTTACTCCTCCCTCAGCCCACATGAGCAACCATTATTTCCTCATCCTGCACTGCTCTACAGCTTCCCATTGCTTCCAGATTTGTTATATAAATTGCATATACATTATATACATTAAATACAGGTCCAGGTCTGCATGGTTTTAACTGATTGTAGCTGAATTATTTATAGCAGTGGGATTCCAATGCTAGGCCTGTGCTGCGTTTCTTATCACCCCTAATGCCTGTACTCCTCTACAATACTTGTCTCCATTTCTCAAGGCCACTGATACTGTATCAGTGATGTTTCCCTATGCTTCATCCTTACATTAAAGCCATAAATATCTCATCCTACACAGAATGGCTGCTTGTAACTACTAGCTGTAAAAACACTAGCTGTAACATCCAAGGATAAAAAAGTAAAACAAATTAGCAATTTACACCTGGCCAGTTAGAGATACTGCTGTCACAAATAAATTGAAGTAGTCAGAGCTTCAAGCGGGTCAGGAAAAGATTGGCCAGACCAGGTGTGGCAAACCTCAGCCCTGAGGTGCTGCACATGCACTGCAAAGCCTGTGGCCTGTTACTGGCAGTGGCAGTGGCATTCTGCAGGATGACAAGGCTACATTCCCATCCCAGTGCCCTACACGTGGTCCTTTGCTCTTCCAGCTGTGTACGGGCAGGCTAAGGGAACAAAGAGGAAATCCGTCTGGCTATGGCCAGCAGCTTCACAGAGACACCAGGGCTCCAGTGCACCACATACACCAACATCCACAGAAATTTTCAGAAAAGAGTGCAGCTCTAACAGATCAAGTGTCAACCATTCTAGGATGTGTCTTGCTCATTGAGAAATGAGTAAAGCACTTGTAACTTGAATTTACTTTAAAATACTGGTCTAAATTGTGTTTTCATTGTAGTGCTTCCAGTCTTTGAGCAGAATGGACTTACTAATCTTACTGTCCTCACTCAGCTAGTCTGAAATACCTACTAATTTCACATTGCTCTCTTAATAGGATTCAAATCTGTTGCATCTCTTTCAGTTTAATAATTTCAATTGACAAGCACAATTAATTTGTTATTTGGTTTCTTTATTGATTTCTCTGTACTGTTCTTGAAATGTTCAAGCTTCTTTTTTATCAAAATGAGCAGCTACTAATAATCTTATACTGTTAAAATTGTTATTTTTTATAATTTCACTTAAATGCAACAGTAAAGGCTACATTTCTCTGTCTTGACCAGTGCAGAATTTTGTTTTAATAAACAAGAGGCTGGTGAGAACCATGGCATTGAATCTCATAAAGTTTATTCAAAACCCCTACATATATACTACAATTGCCTGCTAGCAATATATAACAACATAATTGTAATGTTACAACAAGATGAAAGGGCCTGGTTGTTGTAAACTGATATGGCTACCATCAATATGCTGGGGACTACCTGGTAAAAGGCTTGACATTCCTATGACATTTAAGCTGTTCTTTCCAGGAGGTTTCAAGCATAACCATAGAATCACAGAATCATAAATCAGTTTGGTTCAAATGGGATCTTTAAAGGTCATCTAGTCTAACCCCTGCACTGAGCAGGGACATCTTTAACTAGATTGGTTTGCTTATAAATCACAGCCTGAATAAACAAAACTTTAAAAATCATAATGTTTTTATTTGCTCCTTGGTAAATGTTCTGCTACTTGTTTCTGAAAACATGCCTGTGGGATCAATGTGTCTCTTACAGGAATTGGAGGAAGGTGAGTAAAAATGAAAACTGACACAGTTGCTGGAGTTCTGGTTTGCAAACAGGAATATCAGAAAGTCATATTTCAGAGGACAACTCAAAGTTAAAAGCAGCATATTACTTGAACTGAAATAAAGACTTTACTATCCAATAAGTAAGAAAATTTTACTTGGTGAAGAACTCTGCTGTTTTTTCCAGGGGAAACCGAATTTGTTCCAAAAGAGGATTTATCCCAGCCGCTCCACTTTGTTTTTCCCTTCTGGTAGCCCATCTACTCGCAGGTAGGAAAAGTCACATTAAACGAGTATTTGGTGTCATCTA